AAGAACTTACTCGAATCAAATCAAAGCCGGCGAAAATCTTCAACAAATCGATCGATCCGATCGGTGAATACTCGGATTAAGAGCAGAGAAGCCCTCGTCTTGAATGAATACGAGAGTTAAAGGGAAAGAGAAAAATAGAGGAGGCTTTGGGTTTTCGAATGAGAGAAGAAGATAAGCAAAGAGAGTGAGTGAAGAGAGAGCAGCTCTCCTCTAGGGTTTTTGATTTCTGTTTTATGTTTTTTCTTTTGGTTTTTTAGTTTACGCCGCGTTGACGCGTAACTTTTTACACCGTTTTATTTTCATTAATTACGTCTACACCCATTTAAATTAGAATATATTAAAGGACTATTTTACCCCTCTTATTTATTTTATTTTCCGATACAAACCCATATGCTTTAGTTATTTTTTCAACTACAACTAGGAAACAGAAATAGAAACATAATTTCATAAAACTCAATTTATGAACCCATATTTATGTAAAATATTGTATAAGAAAATAAAATAAAAAGAATTTCATAGATTGTAATTGAATAATTAATTCATACATATAAAAAAAATAGAACTATCATATTTACCAACAACCTCTTATAAATTATTAAAATATATATATTCTTTTGAAACCATGAGAATTAGGATAGATCAATAAAATTGTAATTCTATAAAAAAAAAAAAGAACAATAAGAAAAAAAGAATCAAGATATTGAACCGTTATAAGTTTGGGTTTTTCTATAATTGAATAGAGCATATATGAACGAAAGATCCACACCCAATACCTCATATTAAAAGAAGAAATAAGATATTAGATCGTTTTAAATTTGGGCTTGTCTATAAATGAATAGAGAGTATATGAATTAGTGATGAAAAAGTCTCGCTCTTCATTCATTTTAAATCCTCTTATCTCTCGCTTTCTAGAACTAAAGAGTCGTTAGAATGAAAGAAATACAGACATGCCAACTAATATCGGCATGATGGATGCAGCTTACTTCGTTGGTAGATCGGAGTTTCTCCCTTGGATCAACTCTCCAAAGTCGAAGAGATATTTCTTCTTCATTTTATCTTCAATTTATAACCCGAATTTCTTTTCTATTGTTTTCTGCTATTGAGAAAATTTGTTTGGATCTTTGAATTGAAATTGCAGGCAGGTTTCGGTGCAGTTCGTTGCCAGCTGTTGGATGTGGTTCATCCAGGGATGGTCCCATGCACAAAGTCAACTTTGATGCCAAGAACGAGTACGTGATTAATTTAAACTACAAGGTCCTTCAAGATCACCAAGGTTTAGTTTAATTCTCGTTCTTGGGCCTTTCATGGGAGAGAGATATTTCTGCTTTTTGTGGACTTCAGTTACAAAGCATCTAATGGAGATTCCTTTTTCCTTGATCAATGGGATTGGGGTGCTGTTGTTTCTTAAATTATATTTTAATAATTTATAAGAGGCTGTTGGTAAATATGATAGCTATATTTTTTTATATGTATGAATTAATTATTCAATTACAATCTATGAAATTCTTTTTATTTTATTTTCTTATACAATATTTTACATAAATATAGGTTTATAAATTGAGTTCTATGAAATTCGTTTTCTGTTTCTGTTTCCTAATTGTACAAGGTTTTATTTTCATTAATTATGTTGAATACACCCATTTAAATTAGAATTTGTAAAGGACTGTTTTACCTCTCTTATTTATTTTATTTTCCAATATAAACCCATATGCTTTAATTCATTATTTCAACTACAATTAGGAAACAGAAACAGAAACTTTTTGGTTCATGGATTAAATTTTTTTCCCTTCACCTCCGTGAAATGGGACAAGGAGTTGAACATTATAAATACATCAAAATACACTTCTCTTCTCTTCAATTCAATTCAACTTGCTGTTCAAGTTTGTTTACTATGTCTAAACGTCAGAAGGTTGCCAATAGGCTTGTTGTGGAGGACGCCATTGAAGATGACAACTCTGTGATAGCATTGCACCCACATACCATGGAGGAACTTAACGTGTTTAGTTATGACACTGTGTTGCTCAAGGGCAAGAGAAAGAGGGACACTGTTTGCTGCGCAGTTGCTGATGACACTTGTGATGAATCGAAAATAAGATTAAATAAGGTTGCAAGAACAAACTTGAGGGTGAGGCTTGGTGACAGGGTTTCTGTTCATGTTTGTGACGATGTAATGGACGCAAAGAGAGTTCATGTTCTCCCTCTTGATGACACTGTTGATGGCATTACTGGGGACTTTTTTAATGCTTATTTGGAGCCTTATTTTGCCGACTCGTATCGTCTTGTGCGAAAAGGTGATCTTTTTCCTGTAAAAGGAGGAATGTGCAGTGTGGATTTTAAGGTTGTTGAAACTGACCCTGGTGAGCGCTGTGTGGTTACCCCTGAGACTGAGATTTTTTGCGAAGGGGAGCCAGTGAAGAGAGAGGATGAGGAGAGGCTTAATGGTGTTGGTTATGAAGATGTTGGAGGTGTGAGGAAACAGTTGGGGAAGATTAGAGAGTTGGTGGAGTTGCCGCTGAAACATCCACAGCTTTTTAAGGCTATTGGCGTTAAGCCACCTAAAGGGATTTTGCTTTATGGACCTCCTGGCACTGGAAAGACATTGCTTGCAAAAGCTATTGCTAATGAAACAGGATGTTTCTTTTTGTGTATTAATGGACCTGAGATTATGTCTGGTAGGGCTGGTGAGAGTGAGAGTAATCTCAGGAAAGCATTTGCTGAAGCTGAAGAGCATGCTCCTTCAATCATATTTATTGATGAGATCGACTCCATTGCTCCTAAGCGTGAAAAGACAGAAGGTGAAGTGGAGAGAAGGGTTGTTTCTCAGCTACTGACACTCATGGATGGGATGAAATCTTCTGCTTATGTCATGGTTATTGGAGCTACAAATAGGCCTAAGAGCATTGAGCCCGCATTGAGGAGGTTTGGGAGATTTGATAAGGAAATAGATATCAATGCACCGGATGAAGTTGGTCGCCTAGAGGTTCTTCAAATTCAGACAAAGAACATGAAGCTTTCAGAACATGTAAATTTAGAAAAAGTGGCCAGGGAAACTCATGGATTTGTTGGGGCAGATCTTGCAGCTCTCTGCACTGAAGCTGCACTTCAGTGCATTAGAGAAAAGATGGATATATTTGATGTAGAAGATGAGACCATTGATGTTCAGATACTCAATTCCATGAATGTCACAGATCAGCACTTTAACACTGCTCTTGGAACCAGCAACCCTTCTGCTTTTCGCGAAACTGTTGTAGAAGTGCCTAAAGTCAGCTGGGAAGACATTGGTGGCCTTGATATAGTTAAGAGGGAGCTTCAAGAGACTGTTCAATATCCAGTGGAGCATCCTCAAATGTTTGAGAAGTTTGGCATGTCACCTTCAAGAGGAGTTCTCCTTTATGGCCCTCCTGGTTGTGGGAAAACCTTGCTGGCTAAGGCAATTGCAAATGAATGTAAGGCAAATTTCATTAGTATCAAGGGTCCAGAGCTCCTCACCATGTGGTTTGGAGAAAGTGAAGCCAACATCAGGGATGTTTTTGACAAGGCTCGTCGCTCTGCTCCTTGTGTTCTCTTCTTTGATGAATTGGACTCTATTGCCATTCAAAGAGGAAACAGTGTAGGTGATGCTGGTGGTGCCGCTGACAGAATTTTGAATCAACTTTTGACTGAGATGGATGGCTTGTCAGCAAAGAAAACCATCTTTGTGATTGGGGCTACCAATAGGCCAGACGTTATTGATCCTGCACTTCTAAGGCCGGGTCGCCTAGATCAATTAATATACATACCTTTGCCAGATGAGAGTTCCCGACTACAAATTTTCAAGGCATGTCTAAGAAAGTCTCCTGTCTCAGAAGATGTTGACCTTGCAGCTCTTGCCAAGCTTACTGTAGGCTTTAGTGGTGCTGATATCACAGAAATCTGCCAAAGAGCATGTAAATATGCAATTAAAGAAGAGATTGAGAAGAATATTGAAAGGGAAAAAAGGAAGAATCCTGAAGCTATGAAAGAGGAATATCCCCTGGAGGAAGTGTCTGAAATTAAGCTTGTGCACTTCAAAGAGTCTATGAAGTATGCCCGTAGGAGTGTGAGTGATTCTGATCTCCGCAAGTACCAGGCTTTTGCTCAAACCTTGAGCCCATTCTCATCATCTGCTGGAGGCCAGTAGGATTGTAATCTTTAAGATTAGTTGCATATTGCTCTTAGTTAGGTAATTCTAGCATTTATTGCGTGTAAATTTGTAGAAATTCTATTATGATATTGTAATTTCCAAAGAAGTGAAAATTAAAAAGGCATGTCTTCGTATGTTACACTGAATTTTATTTATTTATTTATTTTTTGTCTCAAAAATACAGTTCAACCCAATGCTTTGAATTTCGCAACCGCAAAATAGATCTTATACTATCCTTTTTTTTTTTTTTAATTTCTAGTCTTCTAATTGGTGGTTATTGCTTGAATCCCACAAATTTTTTGAAACTATTGAGCGTAAGGTGATTTTTCAGTGGTTTGGCCATATTAAAAGCTGGTGGCTCTAAAAGTTTCTATTGGTCTTAGACAGTTCCTAGCATCCAGATTGCCTCAAATGGACAGAAATTCTGCAGCAGCTTGTGCTCTATGTGCAAGTTTTTGTTACCTTTATTAAGAAATTTGGTATTAATGTTAGGATTCAAAGTCAAACAATAGCTTCACATGCTTTTCTCTAATGGCTGGATCCATGGATTACTAATAATTAACAAACCTAAAATATCTTATCAAAACAACCAACCCAGATGGCCAAATCACTAAAACCATTAAATCCAACCTGGAAGTTGCTTGAGATGCATCTTCAATAATACAACTTTGAGAGCACGATAACACAGATATGTTGACTGGAACATAGATATTTCATGTTTTTTTCTCCAATCAGTGATTTGCACAAAGAATGGAATAAGAAAGGCCTCTAGCAATGCAATGGATCAAGCTCAAATCAAAATACACTGAACTTCCCCTTTATCATCTACCAATCCCAGCATTACTTCTATACTTCTCTGTTTTCAGTATGGCAATGAGCTACAGAGAGATTACCAGTCACTCAAACGACTGATTTGGGTAAGTCCAAAAATGCTTCGTACTGATACTTCACTTAGTGGTTCATATCATTCGGAAAACCTATGGACTTTGAGACCAATCATGTCATTCAGATGACATGAATTCCTATTACTTTATTCATTATGCAGATTTTGATGGCACACTTATCCGCTACACACAAAATAGATTGACTACCATGCAAGAAGCTCTGTGTTGCTTAGTAGATTCATTTATGCATATGAATCCAGCAAGGGCTCTCTTGAGTTTTCACCAGATTTGGAGCTATAATGGGCATACAACATTAACTGAACAATCCCCAATAGTGTTCCAATTCCATTCGGGACCTGGATCCAAAAATATCAATGAAAAGAAAAAATCAGTTTAGTAGAGACAGAACCTTGGGAGTATTTGGACATCAACGCATTGGAAAACAAATTGATAAAATGAGGATGTAATCATAATAAAAAATATAATATATAATCACCATAATCATAAACATAGTACTTACAAAAATGAAAGGATCATCCTTGAACATTCCATACACAAGGAATGATAGACTCATCAAGAAGGTTGAAAGAGAAAGATAGAATGGCATATATTCAACACTTCTCGATTTAACGACCAATTTCTGCATAAAGTATACATGAAAACGTATGAGTGGAAAGGAATTGTGCAATCCAACATTAAAAAAGCTTTAACATTTTCAGATGACCTACAATGACAAATAGGGGCGAAGCAAACATAGAAATCAGAGAAGCAACACTCAAGTATCCAACAAATGCCCGCCGGTCATCAGAGTCAAAAAGTTTTATGCTCACAAAGACTATGATACTGAATAGTGCAAAAACTGCTATTAACAATCCAGACATCTTCAGCTGCAAGCAACACCCAAAGACCGTAAAACCCATGTTGAATCAAGCAATGCAGAATTGAATATCACCTTAAAAAGACCAATCAAATGCAAGGATAATACCTTTTTGGCTTTTTCAGCATATGCGATGAAGATGCTCACATAAACTAGCTGAAAAACCGCTCCAATTGAATTCACGGTGGCAACCAATATAACACCAGGTGATACAAGGGGCATGCCATACCAGAGGCAGATCAAGCAGTTCAAGAGAGCATAAATGTAAGGCAATCCTGAGAATTGTTCCGTTGATTGGTTTCTTAAAATTCTCCTGAATGTAGGTCTGATCAAACAAACATACGAGTTTCAATTTTCATTCATTTCTCAATCTTTAGATGGAAAGATCATTAAACTACTTACATGGGTGACACAAACAAGACAAAAGCAAAAAGGTTCCCTGCAATCAACAAATTGGTATCAGAATTCGTTCACTTCAGCTTTATCTTGTCCATAAAACTGAATCTTATTGTTTTGTCTGACATTAAGCATCAATTGGTTTCAGCAGAAACCAGCATCACCATCGAGTAAAAACTGCAGTGCAGAAGAGTTTCATCTTTACCAAATAGGGATTCCTCTGAAGTTTATATTTTTGCTGTTCTTTGTCACATAAAAATATGAAATATCAAGCAAACTAAAAGTAAGAATGCTTGTGCATCTGAGACAACAAACAAATTTTTCTTCTTAATGTCAAGCAAGCTTAAAAACAAAAGTAATAATAATGGAAAAAAAAAAAAAAAAAGCAAGAAATATTGAACTCCCTTTTCCTGCACTTTCTCGGCAACTAAATAGAACAAAAAACTGAAAAATTCCTCTTCAATTCAGGCATTTTGCAGACCAAAGAACCCAGAAAAATAAAGAAAATATCAAATTTGTCACCATTTTCTTTCTCTCTGATCTTTAAGCATACTATAGGGCAACTTGATATAGGAAAGAAAAATAAACAAATTCTACAAAATCGGAACTTAAAAACAAAGCATCAAATTGATCAAAAGAAGTTAATCCAGTGGAGGTTTTGAAAAGGTTAAATGGAAGTTTACCGGCAACCCCAGCTGCATCACTGCAAACTGAATAAACAGCAGTGAACCCAGTTGAAAACATCTATCAATCTCTTCAATTCTCTCTCTAACTTCTCTCTATATGTCTTGTTTGTACCTGCGTACATAAATTCCTTTAATGAACCTTTACTTATATACATACACTAGTCTTGATATACAATCCAACTTTAAATAGCATATTCTCTAAAAATCTTATTATCTAATAATAATAATCAAGAAATGTAAACCACTTATCATTATTTTGCGTCTGTTAAAGCTTTCACATATCTAATGGTTTGGATTTTGTCCTTGCATACATTATATCTGTTTTATATTAATGAAAAGGGTGAGTCACAATTTCCCGCTCAAGGTTTGGCCTTATCTGTTTCCCACCCGAAAAGTTTCAGAATGACAGTATCCCACCTATCCATCCAACTTCTCGGTTATTTTTAATTGCAGAAGGATAGAATAGTAATTTGAAAAAAAATTAATGGATAATCATGTCATTTTATGACCTGTATATAAACTTAAAAACACAAAATTCCTAATTTTTCTCCTTCTCTTTCCTTCTTTCTTCTCCCCTCTCTTTTTCTTCTCTTCTTGTCTTTCCTCTCTCAATCGTGGTTATGGCTGGCCTTTGATTTTTTTTCATGTGTTATGCCTTGCGGGTTTTGAGCTGCTATTTTTTCCAACAAAGCCAGCACATGTTTGTTACGGTTGATGCAATCGAGTTTTGGAATCATACTTGACTTTATTTTGGGCTGTTCTTTGCCTCCTCTTGATGGGTTATGGTTGTTTCTGTCCAGCCAAGGCAGCAGCTGGTTTGCTTCATGGTTGTTGCATCCTGGCAGAGTGTACAGACTACAGTGTGGTGTTGTTGGTTTGAAGAATGTACAGGCTGATTCAGCCGTTGGAAACTGGTTTTTTTAGATTGTTTCTGAAGGCCTTTTTGCTGTTTGTATGGACTTGTTGGTTTGGACGTACATTATACTTAGCATTTTACAGGTCTTGTGGTTTTTGCTAATCCAGGTAGTCTGCTGATTTAAGTAGTCTTTTGCTGGGTGCCCTGCCCTAGGTTCCTTGTGTGTAGCTTGTTCCTTGGTCATGTCCAAGAAGGATGTTGGTGCTTAAGGTTCTCTCCCTTTTTCTGTAATTCTTTATTATTTTAATAATTAACTTTTACCCAAAAAGAGACGCGTCAGAATCGCATCGGGCCGACAGCAGGTGGTGATTACGGAGGTTATGGAAGAGGAGGGGGCAGTGGTCGGCAGCAGTTTATCAAAATTTTTATAAAAGAAAATAAAAAATAAAAATAAACTAAATTTACCATTCTATCCTTCAGAAGTTTAAATTAACGGAAAAATTGAATGGATGGGTGGGAAACTATCATTTTGAAACTTTTAGGGTGGGAACTTGTCACTAGGCCAAACCTTGGGTGGGAACTGGTCGTTCGCCTTCGCCCTAATAAAAATTGACTTATATTATTTAATATTATGTGATGGAAATGAACCAATCATGCACCATTGCAATTTGCGTGGAGAAGAAAACTTTAAGTAGGACTTATTAAATAAAATAAAATTCATATACGGAAAAGGAGGACCCCATTTCATAGTTATCTTGAAAAATAAAAATAATAAAATCACATGTTGGTTTTGTAGTTTTTAATGTTATGATAACTACAGAATCTTAAAGTTGGCAATCAATATCTTGACCAACTGGACATTTTTGTCTCTGAGTTAAATAACTTCATATATTTCCAGTAAATAATCCAGAATTTTTGTTATAATGGATTTTCCAAAAATGTGGAAAATGTGATTGATTGAGTATTTTTTTTTTTTTTTTTTTTTGGGTTGGATGTTATTAGTTTTTGTTTATGCTAATTAATCATCTCTTCATAATGTTATCAGATAAAGCAACAACAAATAAAGACAAATTTAATGGGGACAGATGACAGGGACCAGATGGTTATATATGGAAGCATTTTTCATGCCCATCTTCGTGCGTGTGTGTGTGGTTTTTTTTTTTTTTTTTTCGTCTTTTTTCTGTTTGGGCAAATAAAGGTGAAAGCACCAATCAAAAACAAGTCAATACAGTTAGAAATTCATGGACAATTTTATACTTATACACAAAATTTTTAAGACATTATGACCATTGTAATTTAACAAAATTACTCAAGACCACAATCAGATCTGGCCATCATTGTTGATCTCTAGTCTAATCTAGTTGGTTATGCGTTGATCTAGTCATTTATGACCGACTAGATTTACGAGGATCTGGTAAAAAACGACCATAATGGATCTAGCTGTTTCTTTCCAGCCAAATCCACGAGGATCTAGTTGTAATCGACCATGAAACGATCAAATCTGACCAATCGTGCACCGTTTCGACAACTACTGGCATTTAGTCTTAGGTAATTTGATTGAAGTACAAGCCGGCTCACGAGCTGGCTCGGCTTATCTAAAGCTCGTTTATGACTCAGCTCGTGGTTAGCCAAGTCAACTTGGCTCAAGCTGGTTACATAAAACGAGCCGAGTTCGAACATGGGGAGGCTCGGCTCGTAGGCTCGAGAGCCTGATGTGGCTCGGCTAAGTAGGGTTTCATTTGTTATATTTTATAAACTGTGAGGACTAAAGTGTTATCCATATTCTTTAGTTTTAAAAATTTGTAAAAACGACATTTAACGCCCCGATGTAATTTGTTCCAAAACACAAAATTAAACCTTCAAATCAGATATCCCAAATCGACAAACACTAACCCCTAAATTCGTTCTTGCAAATATTTATAATCAAAAATCAAAATCAAAATCAGCATAATGGTTTTTTTTTTTATTAACTTGAAGATATAAACTAGTAAAAAAAAAAAGGGGGGCAAAACTTATGAGTCAATGGATCTTTTATAGGGGCACGAGGTCTATAATAATTATAGGAATTAAATTAATCACTCTCTTCATTGTTAAACACACTTTTATTATATTAAAAAAAAAATTAAAACCTATTTAATACCAAAAATAGCTCTGCTTAATTAGATTTGATTTGTGTTTTTATTTACAACCATTTCCCCCAATTTTAAACTTAATTAGGGTCTTTGATTATAGCATTTTCCCAAATTTCAAACTTAATTAGGGTTTTTGTTTACACATTTTTTCTCAATTTCTTAATTAGGTTTTTTTTTTTTTTTATTTGTACCCTTTTTTTCCCAATCTCAAATTTGAATTTTGTTTTTCTTCTTCAAATTCATATTTATTCCATTGTGTGATTTATTTTCTCCATAGCTTTAATAATATTTTTTCATAAACAATGAATTATTTGAAATAAAAAAAAATGTTTTAATGATTTAGAAAATTTAGATTTAGGGTTTATATAAGAATTAAAAATTAAAACAAAAATATAAAATAGAGAATGAATATATTTCTTTCATAAAAGTTTTGATTAGGGCTTTACAATTGAGACTCGGCCCAAATACTTGAAAAACCCGAATCTACAGGCCTTTCAAATCAACCCGAATCTGTCAGCCCAATCAGAAGGCCTTCCACCACCACCACCATCGACAAAATTGAAACTTTCCCGCCATTTAATTTGGTAACCTAATCCTCTTTCATTTGCTCAATAACCCCACTTCCAATTTCTCTATAAACTCGTTGTTTCTCGCTAAAGATTGGATTTTAGTTGTTGAAGCGAAGAAGCCAAACATTTTCAGTTCAGAGAATAACCGTTCACCAAATTCAGCTAAAATAAAAAAATAAATAAAAATGGGAATACAAGGGCTATTGCCTCTGTTGAAATCGATAATGTTACCAATTCATATCAAAGAGCTTGAGGGTTGTTTTGTGGCTGTTGATACCTATTCTTGGCTCCACAAAGGTGCTTTTTCTTGTAGCAGGGAGCTCTGCAAGGGCTTACCCACCTCCAGGTCTATCTGTTTCTCTCTCTCTACTGAATTCTAATTTATATTATGTGTTTTGTTAGTTTTAGTTTTAGATTCAATATTTGATCGAAATGGGGTAATGGGTATGCCTTGTCTTCATGATTTGATGAACAGATTATGTTGTACCGTTGCATAAGGCAGTTGAATATTTTCACTATTTTATCAAACTGAATATTGGGCTTCATTTGTTAGTTTGTATTGATGATCTGACGTTTTCTATTCTGTAGTTCTTACAAATGAAAATGCTAACTTTTTTAATAAGAAAGATTTTTTTTTTTTTTTTTCCCGGCATTAATCAGAAGTATATTGTTCTAATGAGGTTAACGAGTGTATTGATGAACAGAGAATAACATTTGTTAAACCTATTACTACTGTGATTCTGGGTATTTGTTGTAGTCTTACATGGGCGTGTTCTTTTATGATATTTTAGGCACATTGGATATTGCATGCATAGAGTAAATTTGCTGCGGCATTATGGTGTTAAACCTATTCTTGTCTTCGATGGAGGTCTTCTACCGATGAAGATTGAACAAGAGAACAAGCGTGCCAGGTATGCTCTATAAGCCACTTGAAGTTTTTGATTACTTAATTGGTCTTGCTTTAATTTTGCTGTCCAAAAGTGCTAAACAATTTAAAAGCTGTAGTCCAAACAACTTAGGTTAACTGAATATGTATTCTGCTACCCATCAGCTATAAAGTAAAATTTAGCTTATTCACTATTCAACATATTTTAAATGCCCATTTCGGGAATGAATAGATTAATCCACTAGACTTGTGTCTCCTCTTTTGCCATAGCTATCAGTTTTGTGGAGTGAAAGAAATGTTGTGTGCCCAAAAAATGTAGGGCAAGGAAGGAAAATCTTGCACGTGCCATTGAGCGTGAATCAGATGGGAATACTTCTGCTGCTTATGATTTCTACCAAAAAGCTGTTGATATTTCTCCTTCAATTGCACATGATCTGATTCAGGTAAGGAAGGGGGTCTATAAAGGCATTTGTTTGATTTATTCTGAACAGGATCTGTCTTCAAATCAAACATTGAATCTTAACTCTAGAACATGTTTGCTCCTCTACTGACATGGTCACTTGTGGAAGGTATTGAAGCAAGAGAATGTATGTTATGTTGTGGCTCCTTATGAGGCTGATGCCCAAATGACCTTCTTGGCAATCAGCAGACAGGTTGATGCAATTATCACTGAAGACTCTGATCTTATAGCATTTGGCTGCCCTAGAGTGAGTAATCTAGTAATTGATTAATTTTAAGGTCTTAATTATTTCTTTCATTTTCTATAGTACTTATAATTTTCCTGGGGTGATGATCCTTCCTGATCCAGATAATCTTTAAAATGGACAAGTTTGGGCAAGGTGTTCAGTTTCAGTATTCCATGCTGCAGAAAAATAAGGACCTCAGTTTTGCAGGATTCACTAAGCAAATGGTTCTTGAGATGTGCATCTTGAGTGGTTGTGACTATTTGCAGTCACTGCCAGGAATGGGCCTAAAAAGGGCTCACGCACTTATTAGTAAATTCAAAAGTTATGAAAAGGTGAGTTTAATTGTGAATGAACTTAATGCTTGATCTCTTTCAATTGATAGAACAACAAAATCAGTTACCCTGAGCAAACAAACGATTAGGGCTTTCAATATTTTTCTAGAGCTTCAGTTTTTTGTCTATTTTTCTTACTTTCAAATCCTTAAAGTATTGTGGGGAAGTTCTGGTGAATTTCTGTTTAATACCAAATGTTGTTTGATTCACTTTAGGTTATTAAGCACTTGAAGTACAGTACAGTTTCAGTTCCTCCTTTATATGAAGAATCATTCAAGAAAGCACTATTGACTTTCCAGCATCAACGGGTTTATGATCCAATCACTGAAGATATTGTACATTTGTCTGACATATCCAACAGCAATGGTGATGATTTGGACTTTTTAGGCCCATATCCTTCAATTACAACTTACCTTATTTGTCATATTGTCTCTTCATCTTAAAGCGTTTTTATTAAATACATCAGAAAATACCTTAACCTTAAATACATTGATACCACAGCCTATAGCTAAAGGTATAGCACAAGGTGATCTTGACCCTTTTACTCAAATGCCATTCCAGGTATACTCTTTGCATATTTATTTTATTATATTCCTTTTGTGTGCGAGTGTTTAGTTGAAGTTTAGATTCTTCTGTTCTTCTATTGTGTGTTCAGCTATCAGGTGATATTAGGGTATATGTTGAATGAGGAGAATGCTTAAAGAAACTTACTTGTTAATCCTACAAATTTACGTAGTTGTAGCATGCATTGGAGTAAACTTAGAGGGAAATTTTGCATAAGCAATACTTTAACACCTATTATTATCACTTAGACATGTTTTTATCACTTAGACATGTTTTGTATCGAGTAAAACAAAAAAGCAAAAATGAAAGTCTGCATTTGCTTAAAGTCTCTAATTTTCTGCTTTTGTTCTGACACCCCCCCAGTCGTTTTTGGGATAAATTGTAGAATTTGTTCTTTATTTGTGCTTCAATCTTTTGTCTTCTTTTAACTAACAGGGAGGCAGTGATAGTTCTCAGCTTGTGCTTGACAAAAATTCTCACCCCAAAAATTTTAGGCCTGAAAGTGAAAGGAAAAAGCTTGTTTTGCCTGTGCAGAAGAATCTCCTGACCAAGTATTTTTGTATCCTTTGATGCCCATTTGTCAGATTTTATTATCTTATTGAGGATTTTGGATATATCATTTTTCAAAATCTGTGGTTAGAAATTTAAGTTTGTTATTCTTATGTAGGAGTATGTGTTTATTTCTTCAGAATGCCAGGAAATAGATGTAGGTGATTCTCTTTTGCCATGCTGGAGTACTCTCTCTCTTCCAGCAAATGAGACAAAATGCTGTCATCATGTGCCCTATTTTCATGTTTAAGGAAATCTTTGTTTGGGATGATTCTACTGAAACATGCTTTTAGTCATCAGATACGGCTGTAAGAATATGACACTGAAGGAAAGAAATGGTTTTAGGACAGATATGTTAGAAAATTATTTTCATAAGGTTATGGTATAACTGAGCCAGAAATTTATGTGCTGCCTTATTAATTGTGCATGGGTCCAAATTATGTGATTAGTTGTTCCTTAAAATGCGAAGGTTTTGCATCTCTTGAAGCAAAGAGAAACTTCAGGGCCCCTCGGATGTCACCTAATGTTCCAAATGCAGAGGATACCACTTCAGTCAGCCCTGAGGAGCAAGTTAATGTAGAGGAGGGTTCCTATGGAATAAACTGCTCGTTGCCATCCCCAGTAAACTCTGAAAATGTGGGCAATGTCCCTCTCGATAAAAATTCTCACAATGATACGAGTTTGATTTATGAAAAATTTCAATTGAATATCACTAAATTGAACTCTTCTTTCGTCTTCTTTCTTTTTTGTAGGACAAAAAGGGTCTTACATCTGAAGTTCCTGGTTCAGAATCTCTGAGTCCTGGTAATAATATTGTTTCCTCTCAAATAGATTTACAACTTCCTTTGTCAGTAAGTACTGACTCCTTTCTCTGTTCATGACTGTGAAAGATATGGTGGTTGAGAGGAGTAGTCCAGAACATACTTTGCTTCCACAACCTGATATTTCAATACATAAGCCTTCTCTACAATTGCAAAAGGTGCATAAAAGTAAGAATTTTACTGATGAAGTCGAGGGAAAGACAAGAACAGAGAGCAGAAAGGTCATCGTAAGAAGTTCATATTTTCAGCAAAAGCAAGTGATCAAGAATGGTCAGGAGAATAAATCAGAAAAGCTTCTAGTTGTGGTTGATGGTGCCATTGATATATCTGACAATGTCAATCTTGGGTTTTCTTCTGAGAATAGCTGTCCCCAGGGCACAACTGTAAAAAGGAAGACTTTGTTAAACGACAGTGTGCAAAAAGTAGGTTCTTTAACTATCATGTGTCTCCCATTTTTTTCTCAGGAGGGGAAGAATTTTCTAGTATGTTTGTGTTTTAACTGTTTCTAACTCCAGGAAAATGTGAGAGCAAAGCACATGCGTATCAGTGCATCCCTTCCAACCATTGGTGCGTATTCATTTCAATAACTCATAGTTTACTCTCTCTTGGCAAGTAATATATATTTATCAATTGATATGTATTCTTTTAATCAAGTTAAACTGTATTTACTAGCTTATCTTTGTCCAAATTTAATGCAGAAGAGTTTTATTTGTTTACTGGTTTGATTTCTTTTATAACCTCCAGGTTGTTGTGATCGTAACATGGACAAAAGTTTTCTGGAGACAAGAACTGATGAAGGAAAGTTTGGTTCCAACATTTCGCACTTAGGCCATTATTCCGAAATAGCAGAGAAATCAATGGAAAGTTTTGTTTCAGTGGTATCATCATTTAGATGCTCCTCGTCTGGTTCTCGTGCTAGTGGTCTTCGTGCTCCTCTCAAAGATGTTCGGAATACTTGTACCAACCGGTAGTCTATTTATTCAATGTTAAAGCTCCTCTCTGCTTTTTAAAATTGTTTACTGGCATCATTATTAACCACTTGGTTTTGATCCCTTGAAGATCATCTACTGCATTGGATTTGAGACAGTTTGCTTATGTACCTAATAGCCAGAAGAAGTCTGCCTTACCATCACGGAGATTTTGAATTTGGATACTCTTTAAGCAGAATTTTATTGCCTGGGCATCATTGTGCTGTTGCAGAGGGAGCTTCGAGTCTGTTTTCCTTTAGAACTGTGAGTGGCAATATTCGATACTTTTCTTGTTCTATATTGGCTTGTTCTAATAGTTGCTTTTAGCTTTATTCAGGACTGATTATACTCAAAGGCTGATTATGGATTAATCGAGGCCTTTGGTTCTGTTGCCACCAGCACAATTGATGATTTTCACACTTCAAATCATATCTCTGTAAATTGAGATGTCATCAGTACATTGTCTTGTGTTTTCATTTATATGAAACTCCTGTAATTGTTATTGTCAATGTGATGATAAACTCCTGTATGTGCTCTATCCCACCATTCCGGCACATTGTTTTGTTCCTGCGTAAAGGATTTTGTATCTCATAATTGAACACAGAATCGGTAAAGAGCCATTTTTTGTAAATGCCACATCGTGTGTATTCTCTACTGACATTGAAAGATTAATTTGTGTCTTATATTGGTTCTTGTTATTGTTCTCTGGTCATGAATGAAACAATCTGCTTGTGTGAAGAAAGTCTTGGTCTTGTAAATACCTATAATCGAAAAGCAATGGCTATATAACTGTCAAAACGTGGTGCAGTTAGATGGGTGCATTTGTGCCATCTTCTATCTATCTTGTCAAATGGGATTAAGAGAATTATGATTATCCCATATTGTCCTATCTATCTCATTTGGTGGGTTTCGGATTGTATCTTACCCACTTCAAATATTGAGATTTAGAATGCATCCGTCACTTAAACTTAGATATCATCTTTTCAAATGAAGGAGAAACACACGTCAAAAACTCTATTTTACTAAATAATGTATAATTTTTAAAACGCAGTGCAATTAGATGGGTATATTTGTGACATCTATTATCTATCTCATCAAATGAGATTCAAAGAATTATAATTATCACATATTGTCTTATCTACCTCATTGGGAGGGTTTCAAATTTGTCACTCTCCCATCTCAAATATTGGGATTCAGAGTACGTTCGTCGTTCGTCGACTTAAATATAGATATCATTTTTTCAAATGAACGAGAAACACACGTTAAAAACTCTAATCCACCAAATAATATATAACAGGTAAAACGCCTAAAATATTGTAGTATGACCTAACATGAAACCATTTGAGCTAATAATTGACTAACAAACTAGAAAACAGCATCTGAGCTGCCAAGTTTAGGCCACTGGATTGGTCTCCGAAGAAGCATACGTGTATGAAGCGTGTAGGATAAGGTGGGTAATGAAACTAGTTTATTAATGATTAATGAGTTAAGCACATGATATTAGAGCTGATTATAGTAATTTAGACAACAGATTTGAGAATGTCTTAATCAAAAATCTTTAACAATAGCGCAATGGCTGGGGAACTCTCCCAATTTCTTACCAGCACGTATCTCTTTCTTCTTCCTCTATTCGCTTTGTCACTTTCTGTAGTTGACCATTTTTGATCCATTCTTTCTCCTTTTGGATGATTGATATCACATCTTTCTTCTTCTAAATTAAAAAAACATTTTTACTCGTCTTCTTCTTCTTCAACCAAATGGGCAAGCATCAAATTGTTACACTTGTCCCTTTTTTCATCACCTTCTTCCTCCATAAATGGTTAGGCATTTCCCCTTCAATGGCATTAGTTGCAATCATCCTTTTAAAGCAAATCAACCTAACTTATGTCGATTACTTTTCTTTTTCTGAAAGGTTGAAATTAAACTGAAAAATTGTTAATAAATATCTCCAAATGTATTTTTTTTTTTTTTTTTAATGACTAAGAGTTTACGTTCGCTTCAACTAATTTTTCAAGACCTTGAAACTATTGGTTGGGTAAAAGCTCCAAAGGTTACCCCTATTATCAATCGAGAAGAAATTCAAACTCAGAACCTCTTAAATAATATATCTATGAGTCCTTATAAAACCATTCGATTACCCAGAGATGGTAATGTTTCCAAATGTATTTTTTTTTTTTTTATGATTATGGATGTCCGGATCAGTTTATGCATATTTCAACTAATTTTTTAAGATCGTGAAACTATCGACTGGGTATAAGCTCTAATGACTATCCCTATTAGCAATTGAGAAATGACTCAAACTCAAAACCTCTTAAATAATATACTCAAAAGTTTTTATCTAACCACGCGTTTCTAAATATATTAAGTTACAAGAAACACGATAGATTAAATAGATGAGATTTGAAAATTGTGCAGATAACATAACAGTCTTACAAAATCCAGTTGCATCCCAACAACCACCCCATTGCTAGATTTGATTGTATTTGAATCATCAAATCCTTTCTCAAATTTCTTCTCCATTTTTTAAATTTTTATATATTTATTTTCTCCGTTTTCAAAGACAGAACCGACACTCAAAAGATTTTGTAATGAACCCCAATCGTATCCTGTTTAATTAAATTAAATTAAATTGTATTTTTTTAAGGAGTTAAAGACGAATCTCTGGCTGTGAAGTGGTCCACGTAATTAATTAAAACGAGCTGACATTGTCTGGGCTTTTCCACTACAACTTCATTATTACTCGACACGTGTCTCTGCATCATTCACGTGGCCTCGTTGTCATGTAACAAGTTCTTTTTTTTTTTTTTTTAAATATTAATTTATTATTGTTAATTATAATAATATCATGCCTAGTTTTCTATCTCTATCTTATAGTTTAATTAATGATAACAAATTTTGGGACAAGTGGGACACTGAGTCCAAATTCTAACTTGATCGTATTCTTAATAATAATATGTAACATAACATGAAATATCGGTTTTTTTTTTTTTTTTTGGTCGGTGAACTAGTTTACACATATCTTAACTAATTTTTTAGGATCCTAAAATTAACAACCGAATAACTCTCTAATGGTTATTCATATTAGCAACTAAAAGGAATTAAACTCAAGATCTTTTAAGTAATACACCCCAATGTTTTGAAAATCAGATTGGTTTGATTGTCGATCGGTGTCCTCTGTAATTAGAATTTTCAATTTCACTGTCACCCAAATCCCTAATCTTAACGTCAGCGAACGAGAGGCTACCAAGTGTTAAGATTAGAGGGTTTTTGTAGAGGGAAGGTCGGTGGTTCAAGAGGTGGTGTCGGATTGAATTTTAGACGTCGGAATTTGGCTGAAAAAATCAATCCAATATACGAGTCACGCCTAGTGAACAGGGGGCTACCAAGTGCCGAAGTTAGATGAATTTTGTAGAGTAAATGCCAGTGGTTCAGGTGATGGTGTTTGATTGAATTTGTGACGCTAAAATCAGCCGTAATTTGTCTGGAAAAGTCAAAACCCAAATAGATTGTAGAGGTATATTTACTATATTTCAAGCCTACAGAGATTGAAACATATTTTTTAAAGGTGTTTTTGCAAGATTTTAAACTATTTAGACCACCGGTTTAACCGATTAGACCTATTAAATTGTGAACCGAGCCCTTGATCGGGTTAAGGTCTGATTCAGTTTTCAAAACATTGATACCCCAAGAATTTTTATCATCCCACTAGGCCACCTAGGGCTAGAGGTGGTTAACATGAAATATCATTAGCTGCTTGTTAAAATTATGCAAAATGGACCATATTGATTAATTAATTTGATGTTTACGGCCAAATTAAAGTTAAATTGTGACAACTTAAACCTAAGAAATAATTTAATGGGTAGTTGGCCGTAAATCGAGTGGATTTGATCCCGAAATTCCGGTTAGAGACCCAAGAGATCTCAAACCAAGTTGTGTTGCTTTATAATTAATTCAAACTTAAGGTTAAAATAATTAATAAACTATTCTAGTATTATGCTAAACCCCTTAAAAGCACATGTCCAAATCATACCTCTTATCTGATTATGTCTGTGACTGTACCATCGATTAAAATTGTAAATCAAAAAGACAATTTTGCCCCATTCAACGAGGAGTAGCAGAAAACAACATTTTCACATTGAACCCAGTTAGAATGCTTTAAGTTTATCTCTTTCATCAGCAAAACAACCTGTCGAGGTTGAGCTATGTCCAAATGAAGACAAAGATCAACCCGCTGTTTTGTTTTCTGAAATTCAATAGAATCTTCAATCACATTATGAACAACCTGTAAGCTGCAGCATCAATTTAAACTAAACAAATAATTAGTAACCAGAAGAAGAAGAAGAAGAAAACCAAAACCCCATAGGACTGCCATGAACAATTCTGTTTCTAATAATTTCCGAATAAATTTTTTGTTTTCGTTTTACAATACAAGAATTACAGGATACTTGGAATTCTTATTTTCTCTAAACAAATAATAGTTATGAACAAATTAATTAAAGGTCATGCTTCCAAAAAACCAGTCATTCTTAAAATTGAATTCCGAACTCGACTTAAATCTCTCCCTTTTAACGTTCTCCCATTTCCTGTACAAACAGAAAACGCCATTTTCCCTGGAATCCTTCTCCCAACGATTACATGCGGCGGAGTGATTTCTCCGTCTTCATATTCTTCTTCAAACTCATCCGTATCCACGAAGTGGTAAATGTTATCCGGGATATTAATATTAACCGGAACCGAATTTGACGTTACTTTCTTATTCTTCTTCTTGTTCCGAACCACTCCTTCACCGTGTTGCTCGGTGAAGTAGCTGTTGCTGTTGTTGATGGTGTTTCTGTCTTCGTGACGGCGATCGTAATCGGAGAAGATGATATCTGATTCTTGAAACTCTTCAGCCATATTAAAGACGACGATGATGATGATGAGAAATTTGCAGAGTTCTGATGTGGAAGAAGAGAATGGAAATGGGCGTGGGGATTTATAGGTGAGAATCTGAAATAAAAGAAAAGCATATTATTTAATGTAAAATTGATTGATTGTTTAAGTGTTGTCAGATGGCGTCACCATAAAAGGCGTTGAGTGCGGTCCCCGCATCTGTGTTGAGAGAAAGTTTCATTTTGTGTGTATGGTTTTTGTAAGTTTATGTTTATGTTGTGTTGTGTACGATAGCCGGCCGCATATTCTTACACAGCACACTGCCTGTAGCTACGTTTCTTCTGGCTCACGCCTTTCTTCTTTTATTAAAACCTTTTTTTTTAACTTGACTTATTTGGCTCAGCCTTCAGCTGAGTGAGTTCGACTTTGCTTCTTTTACTTGTTCTTTCAGTTTTTGCCTCAATGTATTGTGACCCCAATCTATTGTAATACAACAGTATTTTCCTATTAGTTTCAAAAATACTCAATGTCCCCCCTCCCCAATAGACCAAGGTAATTACATAAATGTGATAAGTATCTCTTCTGCAAGCTACGACTCAAACACAAGACTCCTTGGGTATAGTTAACCCCAATGGTTAAAAGGTTTGCTATCTGGTCACAAGGGGAATCTGCCTAATCCTTAGGGCCACGGAACACCCTACAAACCCAATAAACCAAGGTAATTACACAAATGTGGTAGGAATTTCTCCTGCGACTTGAACATAAGGCCCCCTAGATATAGTTAACTCTAATGGTTAAAGGGCTTACCATTCGACCGTAAGGGGAGAGGTATGTTACCCCCAGTTTTCAAATTCAAGTTTTAAAACTTAACCATGTATATGTATTATTGTCAATTTATAATGTTAGATTAGGTTTTCTGTCTCCGTAATATTATACATTTGAGATGAAAATTGACAATATTTCTCTTTTATCATTAAATTTTAAAACTTGGATACAAAAAATAGGGGTACTTTTGGGTGTTTTCTAAACTTAGAGGGGTAATCGTTATTTCACGATAGATTGGGGGTTAAAATGTTATTCTGTGTAAAGTTTTTTTTCTTTTTTTGAATTATTAGAGGATAATGCAAAGACTTTAATTGGAGGGGTCAAAAAGTGAGATTTCAATCTTGGAGACCAAAGGATGCGGTTTCAATTTAATCTTTTTGTTTATAGGAATGTAAATGGAGATTAAATTTGGTAATTGGGTAAGGGAGAACACTTAATTATGATAATATAAGGAATAAATTACGAAGTTAATAATATTCTTGTGGTCCATGACTTTTGAAAATTTGCTAATTGGGGAAGTGATTAGGAGGTTAATTATGATAAATATCCGTTAATGGATAACGCTTGTTTTTGCATGGGCAAGTTGGGTTTTGACTAAATACGAACATATTGTAATAATGGCCTCATAGCTTACCAAATTAACAAAATTTAATGTTGTCATCATAAGCTTAAAGTGTTGACTATATTATATAATATTTGTCTCCTATTGATACAACTTAATGCTAAGTTGAATTGGTAAAAATAATTGATAGCAACTTTGGATACATCCATGCAACTGTCCATTTTTTTCCCTCTCGTTTTGCATCATTTTCGAGATAACACACACAAAAAGAAAAAAAGAAAAAAAAAGAAAGCTGCTAATAATGAAATAATATTAATGCTTATTATGCATACTCATTTTACTTGAATTAATTAGTTAAAGTGGGCGGTTTTTTGTTTAACATTTTTTTTTATAATCGCAGTGTCTGTATCAGTTTACACACACTTCAATTAATTCTCTGGAACTCTAGAACTATTGATAGAGTAAGAGCTTTAGTAGCCACCCCTATTAATAATCGATGAGGGAATCGAATTTAAAACCTCTGAATAATACATCAAAGAGTCTCTATCGAATCACTTAGTCATCCAAAGGTTGGTTGAAATTTTTTATTTAACATTGTTGGTGCCAAATTCTTACATCGGTTAAGAGACGAGGTTTTGATCGTTTATATAGCACAAGGGCACCCTCAACACCTAGAGGTGCATTTTTCAAACAAAATCGTGCAGATCCTAAGTCCCAAAGCGGAAAACACCTTTGGGAATCAATTTATCATGTGTCTAGATTTGACATACATCAACAAACATTATTAGACTTTTCATATGACATAATTTATTTTTTAACCAAATATTATTCTCAGAAACGAGTTTCTGTCCCATTTTTTATTTTATTTTTAAGTCAATAATAATTTGTTTTAATATTTAAAATATTATTAAAGAAGCCGAGATGAGAAGAGAAGCCGAGTGGAGTTGCTTGCAGTAATGAAATTATAGAGTCAATAGGATTATGAGAGCTGTAATATTCGGTAATGATTGGTTGAAAAGCGTAGGTGTAAAGCTACAAATCCATAAGCTTAGCGCATCCAACGGCTCATGCGCCGCGTCAGACATAGGGGCCCCACTTTTCTTTGATGACGAATCAGCCATGTCCACCTAATTTATCCATATACCTTGGCTTTGCTGGGCCCCATTTTAGAGAATGATTTCGAATACGACAATCCACTAAGTTTCCGCCACCTGGTAGCTGACATCATTAGAGAATCTTCAATTATTCTGCTTCTGAGCCACGTTGCTTCATCCCCTTAATTATTCAATTAATTATTAATTAATTTAATTTAGTGAAGGGAACTTAAGCTGCTCAAGTCTCCCATTGCCAAACTCTCCTTGAAACGTTGTCGTTTTCATAAAAAAGAAAAAAAGAAAAAGGAAGGAGGTGGTCCAATAGAAAAGAACCAAAAGTGAGAAGGATATAGAGTTAGAAAGAGGTACTTAACGTACATATTCTCTTTTTAAAGAAAGTGACGGCATGCATTTTTCAAAAATATCTGGACTTTTTTTAAGCCTTCACAAATTTTCTCCATATGCAAATTAAATATATATATTTTTTAAATTTTTAAAGGAGATAATGATAAAGACTTCGATCTCATCTCGTTTACATTTTTTCTGGTTAAAATTTGGTTTGTAATTATTTGTATCACGTCACGGCACTTGATGGGGTTCGGCTACCGGTTTCACATATTTAGTGTTAGTCAAATTTGGGTTTTGGAATTCTTAATTTGAATCAATCAAAATTTCAAACTATATAGATGGTAATGGATTGAAGAGTGAGAATATTAGTTAGTTTATTGAATTTGGAGGAATTAATTTAATGGGTGGGGGATTGGGAAAACCTTCCCCGGAGATAATGTTATTCTTTCCTTGAAGCATACAAAGACTTTTGGGGTGGTGTAGAAAGGAAGGTAAATGGTTTCCTTGTAGATGATTGTTATCTAATAACCAGAACAAAGTCCATGTGATTAATTAATTTTGGAATATCAAAAGCTGGATAGGATTAGTTAACTCAATTCCAAATACAGTATAAGAAATTTTAATGGAACAATATTAAGTGTTTTATCAAGTACCCACAAAAAGAAATTATCAAATTTTTTTTTTTTTGTCTCGATGATCGGGGATGTCCGGATTAGTTTACGTACACCTCAATTAATCTCTCGAGACTCTCGGGACTCTAGAACAACCGACCAAGTAAGAGCTTCAGTGGTTACCTCTATTAATAACTAAGGAGGGACTCGAATTCAAAATCTCTTGAATAATAGGCTCAAAAGTTTCTATAAAACCACTCGACTATACATGAGTAGTCACTGAAGCTCTTACCTGGTCTGAAAAATTCGTATTTATTCATTATTGGTGTTGTAAGTATGGGCTGCAACACAAGATAGAGTCCATGCCAATATTGATTGGCTGAGCCAGGATGGCCTAGCCCAAAATCGATGGTTTAGACATAAAACCTATTCAATTCACCATTAAGTAACTCTCACAAGGTAAACATGGAACGATATTAGAAAACTATGTGTGTGTTCAGGATATAGGCACAATTATCTATCTATTCTCTTGGTTACTTGGGTAATGTTAATGATGTATATTGGTAATCTTGTAAGTTATTATTAACTTGTTATAGAGAATAATAGCCATGTTAATGAGGCTTATTTGAAATCAATGAATTTTCTAAACTGGGATGGAGTTTTGATGTGTTTGTTACCTTGTTGCAAGTAATGTTATGTGTATGCACTCGATTTTTGGTGAATCGGGTTATGCATGCAAGGTGTTTGAAGAAAGTTATGGGTTGGTTTGATTGATATTTTGCCTTGGAATAAAAACTTACCTTCGTCTATCCTTGACAGGAAGTTGCTTAAAGGGACCACTATCGTCCAATTCTAGAATTCAATATTCATATTAAAATTATGGGGTTAACTTCGATTAAAAATGGCAAAATCATTTTAGGGGCAGTTAAAAACGGTCAATTTTCAAATTACTAAAAAGAAAAGTAGAAAACAACTCTCTTCTATATCCGTTTCTCTCTGAGCTTGAGTTTCAGGGTTTTACTTGGGCAAAACCCTAGAAGTTGAAGTGCGGTCTTTCCTATACGAGGTACAATTTTGATAGCTACCCATGTTAGTCATCCCTGTTAATTGGCTTGAATTTTTGTGTTCTTTTAAGCTTAACTGTTAAACCCCTTTCGTATTATCTGTAGCATGTTGATATCTGGTGTTTTGCACGTTTACTGTAGAAGTTCTAGTAAGTTAAGCGTTATTCTATATCAATTAATTCCTTCTTCAATAACTCATATCTTAAATCTTAATTATATGTGGCTGGTTAGAGATTCCTCGTCATTACCATGAATGACAAGTTTTGTTATCTCAAGAATTAGCTTTCATATTAGTTTTCACCTCTTCTCTGTCCACATTCACTTGAAATATGAGTTCAAATATCGTGACCAGTTTTCAAATGCGCTATGGAATCCTGTTCACTGCTTGTTGAACCCATGTACTTTTGTGTCCCTCATTCATTGCTATTGGCTTTGCTTCTCGCCATGATTTGCATGCTTATTGTATTTTATTTATTGCAGTTTGGTGTTCTGGTTTGCCCATACTTCCCTAGCAAAAAGGAAGGACTTCCAGAATCATATATTTAGACAGTCGGCGTTTCATTTCTCTTTGGTTGCATTCTTTCTCTTGGTTTCAAGTTCCTTCAACTTGAAAAGAAGTTGATGGTAATTTTTTGTGGCATAAATTCAAATTGCTGTCCATTTCTCTCATGGGGAAATAATCAGGTTTATTTTTTAGTCTCTGTTTGTATGTTCCTCATGTTATCGTGATATGGCACCTTATTGTACAAATTATTTAAACTGAGACTCTCGAATGAACTCAGATTAAGACGACGCAAGTAGCTCCGTTCATGGGGTTTGGATTTTCAAATTGCAGAACTTCTCTGTTGCAGAGCACAACTGGATTTACTGTTTTCACAATGAAGGCAAGTAACAAGACTTAAACTTTTTTTCGGTTACTCTTTCATTGTTTTCTTTTTGAAGTAGGGTACTGTTGATTACTTATTTATTTTTGAATGCAGGTAAGAATCATCCCCTCTGTGAAGTGCCATCTCTATCAAAATGGACAGTTGAACTCTAATTCTGAAGCATCTAATAAGTAGGTGATTTCTCTTGCTTCACAATATACAAGCTGTGACTTATTCTTGATGTTCAATTTAATCTACTATATTTCTACCTTCTACATTAATTTTTGTGTTTTGATGTTTGTTGTGCATTCTCTGTGGGATACGAGCCATAGTATTCTTGTAAATATTTGCCATAAGTGTTGTTTTGGACTACTTAGAAACCTTTAACCATTGAAAGCAGGAAAATAATAAAGAAGGTGAGGAAGAAAGAGCAGCATCTGTGGAAGAAAAGAGAGTCAACTGGATCTGGGAAAAAAGCCCTGAATCTTGTTCGAATTGTAAGTTCTTTGTTGTTTGTTCTTGTATTATGTATTTTGGTTTCTGCTTTTTACGTTATATGAACTAACAGACAGCAGACTGCTAATTTTGAGCAATGATGTTTTCTTTTAGTGATATAATCAACTGCTTGTTAAAAAAGAAATTGGTTCTGCCTGTAATAATTTCTTCATGTTTTGTTGTTAATGCTGGACAAAAACTGAGTAGTAGTTTCTTCTGGTCACATTTTCATGTTAGGTTGTAAACCTTGAAATGTTAGGTTTCTGAGCTTCCCAATGAGAAAGAAGCTGTATATGGAGCATTAGATAAATGGACAGCTTGGGAGACAGAGTTTCCTTTAATTGCAACTGCTAAGGCCTTGAACATGCTCAGGCAGAGGGGTCAATGGCGGCGCGTAATTCAAGTAATGCACTTTCACTTGCTCAAAATGGTATTGCTTATGTGGTGGTATATTTTCGTTGTTTGCACAATTTAGACAATCTATCTTACTGAATTCTTGGCAGTTTGAGGAAAAATTTTGAGCCTAATTTTTAATAGACTGAAGATATATCTTGTTGTTAGTAATCTATATCAAATGTGAAATGGATGCATATGTTAAAGAAGTTATGGGAAAATTATTCTCTTTTTCTTTCTTGGAAAAGCATAAACTTATAGAACTTCATAGGTCAATGGTGCTGGGCAGTTCTAAGTTGGCTTGATATTCTGTCTAATATTGTAGGACAAGAATGTTCAATGTTATGTCATCTCTATTTTTTGTCCTTGGGTGAGGCAAACCCTTGCAACACAAGAAAGAGTTGGTATTGTATGCTTCTTGTAGAGATGAGCAAGGAGTTGGGTATGTTGTCTGATACAAATGCTTGGAAGGGGAGGTGGGACTTCCAAGCTTCTATGTTAGTCTAAGTAATATCAAGCTCATCCCATAGGCTATGTTTTGCTGCCACTTTAGTCAATCAGTACCTATTTTCAAGGTTTTTGTATTGTACTCTCAAACTTGAGTAAAATGTATGATGTTTAGTAATCTGAATAAATTTTGAACAAATAAGAACTTGATAGAGTTAGATTTATCCATATGTCTTTAAGTAACCTGAAACTAATATAGCATTCATTTAAGTTAGTTTGGTTCTGGGTTGATGGCGAACTAAAACGAATATATTTGCTATGGTTAGAGTAATTAAAAAAAAAAAAAAAAAAAAAAAAAAAGCAAACAGCAAAAAGGGAGTCATTGTCTTTAGGACAAGCGACAAGTATGTGATGTTACTTTCATCTTTTGCTGAAAATGCCATGTTTTAGGCTCAAAATTTTAACTGAGGACCGTACACTATACTGGAACGTCCCATTAGTGTTATGCTGGCCGAGAAGCTGATTATTAATGTACCTCTGAAGGTTATATGTATGATTTGTGTTATGTAGTTGGCTTTTCATAATAATTCACAATAATTATATATTTTTAGCAATATATGATGACAATATATTCCAGACCATTTGGTTGCTGATTTCTATCTCACACATGTATAAATATTGGTGTAGCTGGGCTGGATGTCATATAAGTTTACTTATTGCTAATTCTCAGGTAGCAAAATGGATGTTGAGCAAAGGTCAAGGAGCTACAATGGGTACTTATGACACACTCTTACTAGCATTTGACAAGGATCAGAGGGCAGATGAGGCTGAATCATTATGGAACATGATTTTGCATACGCACTCCCGATCTATTTCAAAGCGGTTGTTTTCAAGGATGATCTCTTTATATGATCATCATGACATGCTAGATAAGATTATTGATGTAATTAACATGGGTGCAATTGCATCCTACCCTTCTTTAAATGAAATTAATTCTCCTGTTCCTAAGTTCTCATTACAACTTTTTGGGCTTTTGCTTTGGTACACAAGAAATCACATCTATGGTATGAAGTATATTTTCCTGGTACATGCAGGTATTTGCAGACATGGAGGAGCTGGGTGTAAAACCAGATGAAGATACTGTCCAGAGGGTTGCTCGTGCCTTTCGAAAACTAGGTGAAGAAGAGAAACGGAAGTTGGTTCTTGAAAAATACCAGTGTAGATGGAAGTACATACACTTTAAAGGGGAAAGAGTGAAAGTGAGAAGAGATTTATGGGATTATGATGGTTCGACAAACTGAAGCACTAGGGGCTTTCTATTTCCTACCATCTTTTCTTCGGATTTGACAGGGCAAATTTTGGAAACCTGGCTGTTGCTACTGTTAGAAATTTAATTTGAAATCTCTTTAATACCCATGACTTTTTCTGTAAGAAATTTTATCTGGTCTCAGGAGATTCCTTGTCTGTAAACCTGAAGAGTAGCAGCCTCTTTCACAAGAAGTTTCAAATTTTTCTTCCCTAGTAAAGGGAATATGTAAAGAAATTTCTGAGGACTAATGTAATCACAAGTTCACAACAAAATAAAGTTATATTTAAGATATGGCTTATACCAATTACTAGTGTATCCTAGGGTGGTTCTTTATATCTCGAGAATGTATTTTAGGGGTTGTGTTTTCGATCAACATTGCAGCTCTCGCAGAGATATTGGATTGGTTATATGTGATGGCACTTGGTTGACTACTTTTTTTTTGTTGTAAGAAGTCTGCGTGCTCTTTTGTGCCGTTTGTGGCTTTTGTGGATGTTTTCATGTTTGCTTGAGACTTTTGGTCTTTGCTTGAGCTATGTCTTTTGTATCTTTGTATATTGATTTTGTTTCATATGTTTAATTCTTACCTTATAAAAAAAAAAAAAAAGAGATATTAAGTCCATTTTATTGTGGAAGCCCCAAAAATTACTTAAAGATGTCAGAAGACCCTGTTTTCCCTTGCAAGGGCTCCATATCTCCTCTGTTTCTCTAATTTGGACAATTACGGTAAACAATTTTTTTTTTTAAAAAAAAAAAAAAAAAAAAAGCTACTTTATGCTAAAGCTATAGCCATGAGACTTCTAACATTGTGGAGTCCATCATTCCACGAGTACCACCCAAAGCCATACTCATTTTTGAGATACTTTCTCGCCATTCCACCTCTTGCTTTCACTTTAATAGTAAAGCTCTTTTTCTGGCCGACATGGTTGAAGAACAGCACACTCGGAGTGGCCTTAACAGAGATTCCCATCGGTGGTTTTGAACTAAAGAAGTAGACACTCTTGCCATCACCACCAACATTAGTGACCGTCCTTTTAACAATCACAGTGCCATTGAGTTTAGGAATAGCAAGTGATGGATAATTGAGGTTGACTGGTGAGGGTGGATTTTCTGGACACTTGAATTTTGGTTCTGGTTTATCTGTTCCAATGCTGCAAAGGTAAAGAAGGTAGTCTTCGTGTGAAGCATCGTATACAAGACCAGGGTCTACTGCTTTTGTAGGACGAAAATGGCCTGATCCGAACATAAAAGGAGTTGCGATTTTGCCCAGTTGATCTGTTATTGGCTTGCCCTTGTTGTTCCTCAATCCGGCTGCAACATTAATTGGCCATTTTAGAGTTAAACATAGTTTGGTGCACATGAGAAAATCTATTAATGTGATAAAATGTGTGAATTTACCAGTGGTCATGATGGCAGATCTTATAGCAGCACTGCTCCATTTAGGATGCACAGCTTTGAGAAGTGCAGCAACAGCAGCCACATGAGGGGTAGCCATAGAAGTTCCTGAATCAAAATTATACTTAACAAATCGCTTATCGTTAGATAATTTTGTAATTGACTCTCCCTCGCTCCATGCTGCCAATACATTCAATCCTGGAGCGGTGATGTCAGGCTGCACAGAGAAACTGAAAATTAACAGACTAAAGAGATACATCAACTTAAACTAATTCAATGTCCCAACTTTTGTTACCTTGAGAAGATTAGGATCAATTGGATTAGGACCCCTACTAGTGAAAGAAGCCATGGATGGGGCAGGCTTAGAGATGAACACTGTTTTTCCACGATTGATAATCGCTGTTGGATTCTTGGTAGCTTTGATGTATTGAATAATTTTATTGGCATCATTGGAGGACACTCCAGTTCCTGGAAGGACATTAAGATCAAAGGGCAGTTCATCTCCAGAAGCTGCAGTGTTTCCTAATATATAACCTGCACCTCCAGCCCTCTTCACTTCTCTCCCCTTTCCAACTCTCATTCCAAGCCCTCTCATGCACAAAACCACTTTTCCTTTTACCTTTTTAGGATCAAGAGAACCCGGGAGGCATTGCCTGGAACCACAATCAATCATATTTTTATCAGAATCAATTTTTATTAATTAAAGCATCATACAAAACAATATAAGGAAAGGAAAGATTACGCTGATTCATTCTTGGCAACTCCAGGAACAACCACATCTGGTGCATATACTAATGGATGTTTCTTCTCGAGCCCGTAAGGAGTTGTTGCTCCCTAAAATTAAATGACATATATTCAAGTTAAGAAAGGCAAATATGAAAGCATGAGAATCAAACTAAGTCATTAGAAAACATTGGCTAATCACCATGATTTTCAAGCCATTTCCTAACACGAGAGGCCCCAAGATATCACGGTCCAAGGAGCTAGCACCAACTGTGATCATCCACGGATAAAAGTTGGACAATTTAGCCGGGTAGGACCTGAATTTCCAGCTGCACAAGCGACCACAATGTTCTTTTTGGCCGCATGTAATGCACCATTAGCTATAGCATCTTGAGCAAAAGCGTCAGGTCTTGAGGACCCAATTGAGATACTCATCACATCAACTCCATCCCTAATGGCATCGTCTATGCCCGCCAACATATCTTCTGTAAAACATGTGCTGCCAACGACCTTCCCTTCCTGAGGGACAGCCCAACAGGCTTTGTATATGGCTAGGCGGGCCAACGGGGCACCCCCGGTGGCAGTGCCACGTGCAAGCCCAAAAACAGAAACGTTAGCGACACGGAGGCCAGCCACGGTGGACGCCGTGTGGGTGCCATGGCCGTTCATGTCACGTGGCGAACGGTAGTCCAATGTGTCATTAAGGCGCCCCTCCAATGCATGCTCATAACCTTTCAAGTAGTACCTAGCTCCAATGATCTTGCTGTAAAAACGTAAAAATTAAGAGTAATGTAAATTCAGTAGATATTACAATTTCTTTTTCTCGGTTGAGAGGTAAAGATTCCCAAACTTTAGCAAAGGAATTTAGTCAAAAAGTTGTTAATTGCACTAGGATTCAGGGATGAATTTGATTAAGGTTTAGTGTATATGTAGACCCCAAAATATCATATTTTTCCTAATTATTATCTAAACTCTAAACCCATTATTATGGGTTTGTACCAAACTCTATGGGTTTGTAACAAACTCATCTCCTTTTTTTGGATAAGTTTGTTTGTTTTTTATTTTTTTATTATTATTTTTTTATATGATCAGGGTCTTCGAGCCAGTTTGTATGTACCTCTACTAGTCCCTATAGACAATTAAATATATTATAAGTCTGGTGTTTCAAGGTAAGTTATAAATGTGGTAGGTGACTGCAAAATTCAAATCTAGGAAGTCAATTAAATAAATAAATTTTCTTAACCATCAGACCAATCCTTTGGAGTACACCAAACTCTTAAATTGGTAATTTCAAACCATTGCCAAACCTTCTGATTAGATACTAGTAGTCTCATATTTACGGGTCAAATTATCATCCCTATTCACTTTTAGGCTATATGGTTAGCACGTTTACCAATGAAATGAGAATATATTTGATTCTATAAGTAATGGTCCCTTCAAAAGCAAAGGAGATATCACTTTCTTTATTCTATCAATGGCACTTCCTTTGTCAGCTCATTTTAAATCAAAAACTGACGATAAATAAAGACATAAAATAACTTGTTTCTTGTTCCATTGATTTCTTTAATCCGAAGATCTTCTGAAATAATAGGTTTGATCCCTCCTCACATATTCACATGCAGATCTTTTATTTATTGCAGTAAAGTAAATAAAATAAAAGAAGACAAAGGAGAAAGAAATTGAAACACTCACCCATTGCAGTGAGGAGTCAAAAGCAACCCCAGTTTGGCAGATTCTCTTCCATGATTCTGGAACAGGTCCCATTCCTTCGTCATTAAAGCTCTCTGATTCAGGCCATATACCTAATTGTAATAATAATAAACAAACTCACTTTCACGTGTAATCATATTTCTTAAAAAAAAAACATGAAACACAGAAATCGGAGCAAGTTTTTCCTAGAAAATTGCAGAGAAGATAAGAGAAAGTCACATGTAAAACAGAACATATGCAAACAAATTCAGCTTGATTTCAAATTAGTTTATAGTTTTTTACCACCATCCAAGACGCCAACTATTACTTCTTGTCCGTATTTGGCTTTTGATAAGAGGCCTTATCCCATCTTGTAGTTATGTCTTCCTCTTCCTCCTTCTTCTCCCTCTTTTAATCCCTCTCCACCCTCGTTTAAGCCTACAAATTCCCATGATCTTGTTGTCTGTAATGTGTATAATCCTGGTTCGCTTTTATACACTGATACAACTTCTTCCAATTCTGTCAAATAATCATATACATATCAATTGTTTGCTGTGAGTGTCACAACAAAGAGAAAGTAAAACAAATTAAGAGATTAATTTGATTCCAGCTTACCTGAAAGTTTGGAGGCTTCATCAGGAGTGAGCACTGCGGCGAAGCCATTGATGCTGTATTGGTAACTGTAAAGACGAGAAGCCTTAGCTTCTTCCTCGTTGTTTTTCACAGAGAGCAAATATGAATGGTGGGTGTCTTCTATCTCATGCAATGCTTTTTCTCCATTGTGTCCTCGAAACTGAACTATGTAGACCCGTCAGTCATCATTCAAATTAACCATATTAAGTATATACTCGTATAAACATTCATCAAAAACTTCTGTGGCTAAAAACAACAACAAAAAAAAAAAAAAAAAGAGACTGCAAAAGACTTACGTTTTTTTCTTCACAAGAGGCTAATAGAGGAAGTAGAAAAAAGAGCGAGTAGAGTATGGTTAATTTTTTTTTTTTTTTTTCTCTAATGACCAGGGGTAGCATGACTGGGGGTGTTCAGGTCAACTTACGTGTACCTCAACTAATCTCTTGAGATCCTTGAACTATCGGCTGGATAAGAGCTCTCTTAAGTAATATACCTAAGAGTCTCTATCGAATCACTCGGCCACCCAAAAGTAGTTGGTACCGCCAAGTGTCCTTTCAAAGTTAGTTAAAAATGTTAAGGTCAATGTATATGACATAGGATTAATTCTAAGATTACATAACTTCTCGTGTGTTGGACTACTACACTCATTACCAATTTACCATCCTTAAAGCGTTAAGTTAGGTACAATTATAAAATAATTATCATCATTATATAATTAAGTTTGGCAACGAGACTTCTATTTAAAGAAAACTAAGAAGTTTTTCAAATTATTAATAAAAAAAAAAAACTGTCGTGAAGTGTCCCTATGATTGGTCCAATCCAATTGCTATTGTGTGGATAGAGTTAAGGGGGTCTACCATCAAAAGTGAGAGCAAAACAAGCAAAACATGGCAATACTATAGGAGTAAAACAAGCAAAACATGTCAACTTTAAAGAGAAATCAATTCAGGATAATGCTTGTAAAAGAAAGAATCCTATCCCAACATCTATGTAACGTTGAATTTTAACTACAGCACAGGGTCAAGGTAGTTATTTGGAAGCACTTTTATATAACTTCCAAGCTTGAGGTTTGGGTGGAAGATGGTGGACTAAAGTTGATTAATTTGAGGGTAGTCCAATGGTGGCTTAGAAACGACAGATCGAATCCAAGGTGTGAACTAGAGATTTTGCTTTTACCCTTCTACGCAATTGTTTATGTAATGTCAAATTAATTGCTTAGGTCCTGTTAAATGGTGAAGTCTACAACACCGTTTAAAGCCAAGTGAAACGCTGCCATTTTGTTCAGTAAACTCAAATTAATCTCAGCCCTTCGATGAATGCAAGATCTGACGGCTCCAGTTCGCTCAACAGTCAATGATATAAAAGAACCTTTGATTTGTCATTTTATGCAATAGTCTCAATTTTTCTTCTCTCTGTAGAACGCAATTGTAACCTGGTTGTTAAGGTTTGTCACTCGATTGTTCTTCTTGTGTGAATTTGCCTAGAGTCTTGTTGAGGCTTGTGAGTTCCTTCAAGGGTAGTGAGTTCTCTAGTGATTGTTCAAGTTTGCGGTGAAAAAGGGGAAAGGTGAGTGAATGATTGTGTTGATTGCAGTGAGTGTGGTTTGATTGTAATATGTAACATTGAGGCTTTAATCATAGTGCAACGAGTCTCCATATTCTGGAGCTCAACGTGGACGTAGCTTGTTCGATATTGAACAAGTGGACGACGATATATTGTGGTGTTGATTCTTGATTCTTTACTATTGGTTTGTGTTTGAGTAGTTGGTGTTTAGGTTTGAGAAATTAGGCTTAGTTTACAATAGTGGTATCAGAGCTAGTACTCTAGGGTTTAGATATTCTTGAAATCGATCCAAAATTGGCAGAGTCACGAATTAGGGTTTTTTTTCAAATTTGGGGATTTTCAATTTAGGGAAGTTCTTAACCTCTAGGGTCTTGAATCTTGAGTCTTCGGTTCAATTCTTGAACACTAGAGGTCGATTTTGGTCTCAAAGGGTCAAATCAAAGAAAGTCAGTCATGATCAAGGTAGTGAATCTTTAGGGTTTGTTGTTGAACAAAATGATGAGCACTACAACACATGTAGAGATATCCTAGTACAATGGGAAGATGGATTTCAATACTTGGAAGAAGAAGAAGATGAAGGCTCTTCTATCTCACAATAAGGTGGGAATAGCACTGGAGAAGGAAGCAACCAAGTGGTTCGAAGAAAAGGTGAAAAAGAAGGCAGAGATAGACGAAGAAGCATACAACCTGATCATTATGAACTTATCTAATAGCGTTCTATGAAAAATGGATGGTCTGGACACACCGATCGAACTTTGGGGTAAACACAAAACTTTATATGCATTACGGTCTACTCCTAATTTAGCTTTTTTGAAAGGTGCCCTGTTTTCTTACAAAATGGATGTTTCTAAGTCATTAGAAGAAAACCTAGATGAATTCCTAAAAATGACATTAGTACTAAAAGGAACTGATCATGAATTAGGGGATTCGAGTCTTGTAGTGATTTTATTAAATTCGTTACCTGATGAACACTTAGTGGTAAAGAATGCATTGTAGTTGATAAGAGTGTAATTTACATATTTTTTATTCCTATCATATTATGTTTTTGTTATGTTTTATGCCTAATTGAGTTGATTAGAGTTTATTTTTTAAGTTTGGCATATTTGGATAGACTTTAGGAAATAATTGAGAAAAGACTAGGAAATTCCAGATTTTCCAGATTTTTCGTTATTCTGACCAGTGCTACGTTTTTCAGGTTTTTCAGGGAGCTAGATTCCTCAATTGCAAAAGTGGTTTTCAGAGAACATTAAAGTAGACGAATCAAGCTTTTCAGGAGGTATTATGGGCAAGAATCCGAGTTCGTTTGGGTTCTCAGTAGTTGTTGCAAAACCGGACCTGGAATCCTAGTCGCAGAAGGATTCCTTAGCTGAGCATGAATCTTCGAACGGGCCTAACTGAGCATCAGATATCGAAAGGGTGATTCAAAAGCCCAGATTCATCTACACATCCTAAATACAATTTTTATGAAGTGATGGAGCCCAGAAAAGATCTTTTACATGGCGAGAATCCTGGTGCAGATTGGAGACGAATTCTGGAATCCATATCTGATCAGATTTTATCAACTCTGAAGTCTATCTTCTAGGAAACGTCCAGGAAAGAAATTCCGTGATTCTTGGGAAATTAGGAAAACACATGTTATTTAATTAATTTTTTAGGTTAAACGGGAGAGGACAGTAGAGTGTGAATTATGTAGAGTTTTTGCGTTCTGATCAAGATGTGCGGCTAATTTCCTTCTTCAGTTCAAGGGGATTTTGAAGCCTAATTTCATGTCATTGGTGTAACCTGACCTAGAACATTGTTCTTAATCTCATTTTTATTGGATTGTTTATGTTATTCTATTTTAATTGTTTGTGATTCTTGTTTGAGTGATTTAGTTTT